GAAACTAGGCCATAGGAAACCTAACACCAAACCTTATAAGTTGAATAAGGGGTGGTACGAAGGACTTTGACCACTTTGGTATGTGAAGCTAAAGTCACAAAAGTATAAATGGAAAAGGGGTTGATTCCACAAGAGCCTAAGGCCTTGATAAGTCGATAAAAGCTCAAAAAGTTTAAGCAAAAAAGAGATCCTCACAATTGTATTAAATGAAATGGGATTAATACATTAGAAGAGCCAATACATTGGCTATTTATACAATTTGAAGGAGTTTGCTCGAACAAGTATACATCCATTGGGCAAGGGTAATTTCTATGGAATGTTACAATGCTTTGATAAATAAATATATTATTACAAGAGTGAATAATCAAAGCAATGGTTCAATTATGCTCTACCCTCCTTAGGCCAAATAATTATGTTGCTTTTCCTTTTGGAATGCTTGGATTTGTGGTGTAGAAAGCCTTAGCCAAATGGGTGTGTTGTTTTTCAAGTTTGGCGCCCAAATGTGGGGTTGTGGATGCATGCTCGAATGATTACAACTCCATTGGTATGTGGAGCCTAGTTTGAATTCAAAGGGGCACATGCTTCTTTAATGAAAGAAAATGTTTTTTGCTTCGATGTGCTCCTCCACACCTTTCTTATGGTGTTCCTTCAGCCACATTTTGTTCACATGGTAAGGTGCATGCTAGGAGGTGAGTTAGGTAGCTAGCAAAGTTAGTAAGGTAGCTAGTTGTCACGAACTTGGGCTTTTTCCCCATACTTTGGGCTATTTTGGCTATGTTGGGCCACATTTGGTCTTGGAGGTTGATAGAATAGTGTAGATTATTCTAGAACACTCAAGACTTGTACATATGTAGAGTATTTTAGAAGCATTCTAGAGAATTCCATGTTAGGTAGGAAATTATGGAGAATTCTAGAGAATCTCTCCCTGCCGTAGGATCAAGTCAATCTCCACCATTATTAAGGAGGTGGGATACTATAAATAGGTGTAGAATCCTCATTTGTAAATCATCCAAGAGTTATAAGCTTTCAAGCATATCAACAAGCATTCTTTCAAAGTTCTTTCCTTTCTTCTTTGTTTCATTGCCAATCTTTTCCCACCCTAGTATGAGTTTGAGTGAGGCTGACTTAGCTATCGTGAGGGGAAAAAAGGAGTTAAGGTCGCACGAGGCTTATTGAGAGATTAAGTACGTGACAGTAGGTATCAGAGCTGGTTAAGGCATCAATATCGTGTACGTGTCTTGTAGGAATGGCTGGGAACTCGAATGAGTCGACTCTTGCTGAGAGACGTGGGAAAGAAGCTGCACTCACCAACCCGAAGAAGAACACCGGGAACCCAAATGAGTCGAATGTTACTAAGGAAAGTGGGAGAGAAGCTGCACCCACCAACCCGAAGAAGAAGAGGGACCAAAGTAAGGCCCGCGAGGGTGCTTCCTTAGAACCGGTAGTGGCAGAGTTCGGTGAGAAGCTGGAGAAGGTCCATCATAACTTCAAGATGTTGGAGGACTATGTCTTGGAGTAGGTTAACACGCTCAAGGGGAGTGGCGAACAGACCAGCAATGAGGTGGAAGCTCGGTTGTACGGCTAGAGGATATGATCCAAGCCTTACGTGAAAGCATCGAGGGGATGCGGGAAGAGTTGACACTCTGCAAGAGAGCTGCCATTAGCAGGGGTGCTAACATCACTGTCTCTACCCCGAGGATTGAGTGACCCTAGCCGCAAGGGTTCAACGGGGCAAGGGACGCCAAGGAAGTCAAAAACTACCTATGGTGGATTGAGCAATATTTTGAGGGAATCGGCCTTAACGACGAGGCCGCCAAGGTAAAGACCGTTGCCTTATATCTTTCAGATACTGCTATGTTATGGTGGCGTAGGAAATATTCCGACATAGAATGAGGGGCTTGTCAGTTAGATACATGGGATGAGTTCAAGAAAGAACTCAAGAAGCTCTTCTATCCCGAGAATGTGGTATACGAGGCTCGCAAGAAATTACGGGAGTTGAAGCAACAGGGTATTATGTGGGACTATGTAAAAGAATTCACAACTCTTATGCTTCAAATCCCCAATATGTCCGAAGACGATCTCTTGTTTTATTTCATTGACGGACTACAAGGATGGGCCAAGCAAAGAGATACACCTTCGAGACGTTAGAACTGTTGATGAGGCCATTGCTATCGCCAAGTCAATCGTCGATTTCCAACCCTACTCCCACACCAATGCTGCGAATAATAAGGATAAGTACCTAGCCGAAGGTAGGTAAGAACGGTAGGAGAATTACCAAGGCAACCAAGACTGAGATCACTGAAGGCCACAAGCTAAAGAGGGAGATCGAGATCGACGTTCGGGCTGAAGGGACTACGTAGAGAAGAAAAAGGCCTTCGTTCCTAAAGAATAATGCTTCTTGTGTAAAGGGCCGCACCCGATGAGTAGTTGTCCCAAACTTGGTTTATTATTAACCATCGTCGTTCGTCAAGATACAAAGTCTCAAGCAGAGATGGGGTCGCTCCAAGTTATAAACGCCTTGAAGGCCAAGTCATTGACACCATCGTCGAGTAATGGGCTCATGTATGTGGAAGCGGTGATCAACTAGAAGCTGACAAGAGCTACGGTAAACACAAGGGCTACCCACAATTTCGTGTCGAAAGATGAAGCCAACCGTTTGTGCCTAAAGTAGTCTGTGAGCAAAGGATGGCTCAAAACGGTAAATACACAAGCGGTAGCACTCTATGGCATGGCACGAGGGGTCGAGCTACGCTTAGGCTCTTGGAAGGGCCAAGTGAACTTTTCAGTCATTCCCATTGATGACTTCAAGGTCATTTTAGGGTTGGACTTTCTCCGACAGGTAATCACTATCCCTATGCCTTCATTTAGTTTAGTTTGCATCTTGGAGAAAGGGTCTCCCTGCATGATCCCCATGGTCGAGGCACTGAAAGTGCAAGGTCGAGATACCAAACAACTTTCGGCCATAAAACTTGGTAGAGGCATCAAGAAAGGGGCCATGACTTATTTGGCCATGCTAAAGAAAGATGACGAGATCGAGAAAATGGATGACCTACCACCAATAATCCGTGAAGTCTTAGAGGAGAAAAATGTCGTGAGGTGGATCACAAGATAGAGTTAGAACCCGATGCCAAGCCGCCTTCCCTGGCACCCTACCGAATGGCCCCACCCAAACTTGAGGAACTTCGAAAGCAACTCAAGGAGATAATTGATACGGGAAAGATCCGACCTTCGAAGGCACCGTATGGCGCACCGACACTCTTCTAAAAGAAGCACGATGGGTCGTTGTGCATGTGTGTTGATTACCGGGCACTTAACAAGGTAACAATTAGGAATCGCTACTTGATTCCTTTGATTGTCGATTTATTTGACAGACTTGGAGAAGCCAAGGTGTACACGAAGATGGACTTGTAAAAAGGCTACTACCAAGTTTGAATTGTAGAAGGCGATGAGCCAAAGACTGCATGCATCACCCGATACAGATCGTATGAGTGGTTGATCATGCCCTTTGGTCCAACCAATAAACTGGTGACGTTTTGCACGCTTATGAACAAGCTCTTCCAACCGTACTTGAACCAGTTCATGGTAGTGTGCTTGGATGATATCGTGGTATATAGTAACTCCATGGAGAGCATATAGACCACTTGAGGATTATGTTCAAGATACTTCGAGAGAACGAGATGTACGTCAAGAAGGAAAAGTGCACGTTTGCCACCGAGGAAGTACACTTCCTTGGACATGTAATCGGCCACGGGAAGCTATTAATGGACTGGAGCAAAATCAAGGCCATAACCGAGTGGGAGCTGTCGACCAAGGTAACTGAGATGAGGTCCTTCTTTGGTCTAGTAAATTATTATCGTCGGTTATACAGGGTTACTCAACGCGAGCATCACCATTAACAGACCTTCTCAAGAAGAGAAAGACGTGGGAGTGGTCCGAACAATGTCAGAAGGCCTTTGAGGACCTGAAGGCAGTAGTTAGCCAAGAACCTGTCTTGGTCTTACCCTACTTTACCAAGCCCTTCGAGGTGTATACTGATGCATCCGACTTCGCTATCAGGGGAGTACTAATACAAGAGGGACATCCGATAGCATTTGAGAGCCGCAAGCTGAACGACACCAGGAGACGGTATACGGTGCAAGAGAAGGAGATGAAGACCATTATCCATTGCTTGTGGGAGTGGAGACATTAATTACTTGGTGCACACTTCACCATCAAGATCGGCAATGTGGCGACGAGTTATTTTCAAACTCGAAAGAAGCTGTCACCAAAACAAGCCACGTGGCAGGACTTTCTAGCCGAGTTCGACTATACGTTGGAATACAAACCGGTAAAGCCAACGTTGTGGCCGATACCTTAAGTCGAAAGGCGGAGCTCATCGCAATCTCTCTAGCCAAGGGAACCATGTTGGAGCGCATCAAGGAGGGCCTTGAGCAAGATCCAGTGACAAGAGAATTAGTAAAGCTGTCTAGCGATGGCAAAACCCAACGGTTATGGGTAGAGGACGGTCTACTCTACACCAAGGGACGGTGAATTTATGTCCCAAAGTGGCATAACTTATGGCGAGATCTTATCAAAGAATGCCACGACACCAAGTGGGCTGGTCATCTGGGTCAAAAGTGCACTATGGCATTACTAGATAAAACATACTTTTGGCCCCATATGAAGGATAGCGTGGAGTTTTACGTGAAGACTTGTCCTGTGTGCCAACAAGACAAAGTGGAGAACCGACAGCTAGCAGGATTACTCGAACCTTTACCAGTTCCCCAAAGACTTTGGGATTCAATCACTTTGGATTTCATTAGTGCATTTCCTAAGTTCGAGGGATAAGGTTCGATCATGGTCGTCGTGGACCGATTTTCCATGTATGGGACTTTCATACCATGCCCTAAAGATTGCACTGCGGAGGAGGTTGCGCGAGGATTCTTTAAGAATGTCATGAAGCATTGAGGATTACCAAGGAGCATCATCAGCGATCGAGACCCTCGATTCACCGGACGCCTATGGACGAATTATTCAAGCTCCTTGGCACCGAGTTAAATTTTTCCACAAGCTTTCACCCTCAAACTAATGGGCAGGCCAAACGGGTGAACGCTTTGTTGGAGTGTTACTTACGGCACTTTGTGAGTGCCAACCAGCGAGATTGGGCAAAGTTTCTAGCCGTTGCCCAATTCTCTTATAACCTGCAACGGAGTGAAGCCACAGGACAGAGTCTGTTCGAGCTTACAACCGGACAACAACCGCTCACGCCGCACACATTGACAATGTCACTTGACGAGGGCAAAAGTCCTGGAGCCGCCAAGATGGCTAAGTCATGGGAGGAGAACGCCGACATCGCCCGCGCATGTTAGGAGAAAGATAGGGAAAATATGAAGAAATGGGTGGACGAAAAGAGGAGACATCCAGAGTTCACCGTTGGTGACTTAGTCCTTGTGAAGCTTTTGCCACAATAATTCAAAACTCTCTGAAGCGTTCACAAAGGACTAATACGGAGATACGAGGGACCGTTCCAGGTACTTGCCAAGGTGGGTAAAGTATCTTATTGCTTAGACTTGCCAAGTACACTTAAGATTCATTCGGTCTTCCATATATGTATGCTCAAGCCATATCACGTCGACAAGGAAGACTCAAGCCGAGGGTATTCACATCGAGCACCTCCCGTAGTAACTAAGTCTTACGACAAAGAGGTTGAAATAGTACTCACAAGCAGGACAGTCCGCAAGAGAGGAGTTCTGCCGCGTACCGTGTATTTCAATCAGTGGAAAGGACTACCAGAGTCTGAGGCAACAGGGAACTAGCTGAAGACTTGTGGCAGTTCGAACATCGAGCACCTCCCGTAGTAACTAAGTCTTACGACAAAGAGGTTGAAATAGTACTCACAAGCAGGACAGTCCGCAAGAGAGGAGTTCTGCCGCGTACCGTGTATTTAATCAAGTGGAAAGGACTACCAGAGTCTGAGGCAACATGGGAACTAGCTGAAGACTTGTGGCAGTTCAAAGAACATCTCAAAGTATACGAGGCGACGGGGACAACGCTGAAATAGGTAGGGGAGGATGTCACGAACTTTGGTTTTTTCCCCACACTTTGGGCTATTTTGGCTATGTTGGGCCACATTTGGTCTTGGAGGTTGATAGAATAGTGTAGATTATTCTAGAACACTCAAAACTTGTACATATGTAGAGTATTCTAGAATCATTCTAGAGTCTTCCATATTAGGTAGGAAATTATGGAGAATTCTAGAGAATCTCTCCCTACCGTAGGATCAAGTCAATCTCCACCGTCCATTGAGGAGGTGGGATGCTATAAATAGGTGTAGAATCCTCATTTGTAAATCATCCAAGAGTTGTAAGCTTTCAAGCATATCAACAAGCATTCTTTCAAAGTTCTTTCCTTTCATCTTGTTTCCTTGCCAATCCTTTCCCACACTAGCACGAGTTTGAGTGAGGCTGACTTAGCTATCGCGAGGGGCAAAAATGAGCTAAGGTCGCACGAGGCTTATTGAGAGATTAAGTCCGTGACATAGTGCTTAGGTAGCTTGCTAGGTATTGTAGGTAATTAGCTACCTAGTGCCATTCTAATTACCCTAACATGTCTCAAGTTCTCAGCTCATCTTCTATAGTCTTCAGTTGCCCTCCAACTAATGTCAGTTACCCTTCAGTTCCCTTAGCTAAGCCTCTACTGCTTTCCTCTTGTATAAAGCTTCCTTAATCTGGTTTTAAGTTCGGATGGATTGTGTGATCTTCTCAAAGCTTTGTATGTTGTTTCCTTATGTCCTAAGTACCTTTAAAAGGCATGAAATCAATGAGTGGAGGTGTATAACTCAAGTAAACAATATAAATGAACAATGCAACCTATAACAAGCTAAGTATAATATAAGAAATGTCATGTATGCATAGGATAAGTTAGGAATTTGTTAAATAAAGATATGTAATGGCATGTATGCTATGCAAAGGTCATGAAATACTTAAGTATAAGGTCTAACATATATCATGACAATGCTTAGCATAATGAATATTAAGTATAGGCTTATACAATGCAACTTAAAGTATGTATATAATATAACAAGTATCATGCAGTTATTATGCATAGAATTAACATGAATATAAATGTGAAAATGAGGAAAGGAATAGTAACGCTCCGTAGTCCTTGAAGTACTCCACGTTTGAAGAAAAAAGAATAAAAAGTAGCAAGTGTTGAACTATTATAATCATCCCCTTTTTTGAAACGATTTGTCCTCAAGTAAAAATTCTTAGACTGATTGAACTTTTTTTTTCATGGGAATAGTCGAAAATACTTCTTTATTGACATAAAATTCTCCTTGTTTTCTTTGTTCATGGACAATATCCTCTAAAGGTTGTTTGAAGAGATTATCTTTTTTTGAAGACCTTCATTTGGAATCAATGTTACCAAAAGGTACCGTATACGAAGAGTTCTCTTGCAAATGCTCCGTTATTGGATAACCTTCAGTATCCCGTAATAAAATTTTTTGTACCTCTTTGTTAAATGCCTTGGTGTCCTTTACCTTCAAAAGCGATGTCTTATTTCGTGAAACGAAGTGTCCCTTGATTAATGGATGCGTCCTACTTCTTGGATCATAATGTCTTTTGCTAAAAGAACACCTTCCTTTGCTTGAAACTCCATAAACATCTTCAAATTGACAATCATGCATTTTCACAAATTTAGGTGACCTTTCATTTGAATCTTCCTGTTTCTTGAAAATGGTGTTTTTTTGGGTCCAAATCACTATGCTATTTGGTTAAAAGGGATGTTTCCTCGTTCCTCTCATGGGGTCATTCTTAACACTTCTACGCTTCTACGCTTTCCTTGATATGTTTCCGATCATTAAGAACTTGTTGGGATGACAATGGCTTGAGTGTGACCTTATTTCCATCATGTTTGTATACTGATTAGTATAATAATCATACATAGTTTTTTTATCATATTGCCATGGTATTCCAAGAAAGACATGGCTAGCATGCAGCGGGACAACATCACATAGAACATTATCCTTGCACTTGCTAATTGAGAATGGAACAAGTACTTTACTTTTGACAATAAATTCATTGTCATCATTCAACCACTACAACTTACAAGGCAGTAAATGCTTTTGTGTCTTCAATCCTAGCTTTTCCACCAGGATAGTTCCAGCAATGTTAGTGTAACTACCATTGTCAATAATCATAAAACATACATTCCCTTCTACATTGCATATGGTATGAAAGATATTCTCTCGTTATTGCTCTTCAGTTGTTAATTGTGTGTTTAAGAGCCTTTTAATCACCAAAAGCTCTCATTCTACAACATCAACTACTTATTCCTCTTCTTTAATGACCTCTTCTTTTCCTTTATCTTCATGGTCAAATTCTATTTCCCCATTCTCAAGTATCAGCATGGTATTACGGCTTGGGCACTTATTTGCATCATGGCCTCTCCTAAGGCATTTAAAACATTTGATGTCTCTAGATCGCTCGATACTTGTTTGTTGCTTCCCTCTACCATTTCCTTCTACCATTGTTTGCTTAGGTTTCAGGCTCTCTATACTTTCTTGAATTTGCAAGGATTTTGCTTCCTGGTTCCACTTCCACCTTGATTCCATTGGTTTAAATTATAAGTGTTACCTCGTATTGAACTCATTCTCTTAATTTTCCTTTCTATCTTTATGGACATATGTGCAATCTCATCTAACTCCACATAATGCTATAATTCAAGAATGTAAAAGATTTAACCTTGCCATGGTTGTCTCCCAATATTTGTCAATATTTACATAGATCATGGCTATTTCCATGTCCTTGTAATAGTCCTCCACACTCCTATTTCATTTTCTAAGATTTTAAAACTTTTAAAAAATGTATCGTTGGTAGTGGGTAGGAACAAATCTCATTTTCATAACGGCTTTCATGTATATCCAGTTGTTGATCTTGCTTTTCCCTATTTCTCATTTTATTTTAGTTATAGTTAGTTTATCATACCAAACTAAAGCGTAATCAACAAACCCCATGGCTGCAAGTTTGACTTTCTTTTGCTCGAATTAGTTATAGCATTCAAATACGTGATCAACCTTGGCCTCTCAATCGTACACTTCTAGATAAGGTTTCCCTTGAAATGTAGGAATGGTTCATTTGATGCTATTCAAATTGTCATCAAAGTACATTCTTCCCTCTCTAGGCATAGTTCCCATTGAATTCTGAGAAATTCCATCAGCTTGATCATCTTCAATTTCATTTTATCTTGGATTACCACCATAACCTTTAATTCTCTCTAATCTATCATGAAGGGGTTCTAGTTCTAATCTCATCAGTCGTATCATTTCTTGAAGAAAGGCTTGATTTTATAAGTTTGGGGTTATTCCTCAAGGCAATTAACTTGAACTTATAAACATGGTTATATAATAAGAAAGAAAGAAATGTGTAAAATGCTCTCACAAAGACCCTAAGTATGCACTACAAGAAAAGAAGAATGACACTTAGTCTCTCGTGTTTGCTCTCAGGACATTATAGGCTTTTACTTGTCATCTTTTAATCTCTCTCACTCAATTTCTTTTACCATTCACCCTCTTTATGTAAAAGTCATATAAAACTTTACTCAAAACTTTCCCAAGTATTGTCCATTAGTACATGTGGGCTTCAAAAACAAAAGAAATGATGAAAAGTGGCTAGAAATAAAGAAAGAAAAGAAAAAAGGGGTTACTAGAAAGAAAACACTTACAACCTTCACTTTCTCCATAATCAAAAGTCCTGATCACTTGCCTTGTGATGTTTCACGTTTGCTTGTTGTTAAAGTGTTTCACCCTTGCTTTTTTTTTTTCTGTTTTGTTGGTGTTTCCTTTGTACTTTGGTGTTTTCTTTGTTTTGAATTTCTTGTTGATGTTTTGGAGCCTTTTTTGCTTTGGTTACTTCACTTTGGCCGAATTTTCCACCATGCTTATACCACTTGATGTTATTTTTTGTTTGGTCTTTTATTTTATTCTTTTGTTTTTTTATAGGGCTTCTTCCTTGCACGTTGTGTAATACCTAAAAATTTTTGTTAGTGACCAAAATATAAATTTTGAAAGTTTAGTAGCCAAAGTATGAAATTGGAAAAAGTTTACGGACCTAAGTGGTAATTTTTCCAAAAAGAATTTTTATTCCATAAATGTATAGTTTACTCTTCAGAGTGGGATTTTATTGAAATCATATTCTTGATCCGGAATTGGTGTTAAAAACTAGAAAATCCAGTAAATTGAATCGAATAGAAAATTTGAGAAAATTTGAAGGATAATAAATTAAACTTAGAAATAGTTTTTCCACATTTTAAAATGATGGAAAATAATATGGTGTATTGAATTTGATAAATAATTTCCATGTTCAATTTA